AACATCGTGTACACTTTAAATGTACACGTTTTTAATTTATCAGTAACACCTCAATAAAGCTTGAAAAAAGGAAGCCATAGGTCCTGTTTAAGCTCAAGGGGATGGGATAACACTAAGGAATGAACACCAGAAGGTGGGATCATGGGTTGTCTCAGACTACCCACCACAGACACTAAGGGAGGCAGAAACCTCATGGGAGTTGTACCTCTACTGTTGGAAGAAGAGGAACAGTTATTTTGGCAACTAGAGGGACCCAGCGTGGATCTAAGGACCTGTCACCTTAATGCTTTCAAATTGCCATTAAAGGGATTCTGTGACTTTGTGTCTATGTGTCTTCTTGTATGTCATTCGTTTCTTTCTGCTTCCATCCATGGCTGTGTTTTCTGCATGTTCTTGGACAGATGGGGAGAGAGATAGCGATAGGAAGAGAGAGAGAGAGAGAGAGAGAGAGAGAGAGAGAGAGAGAGAGAGAGAGGAGGTGCCTGGGTGGCTCAGTTGGTTCAGAGTTTGACTCTTGATTTCAGCTCAGGTTGTGATCTTGTGGTTCATGAGGTTGAGCCCTTCATTGGGATCTGAACTAACTGTGCAGAACTTGCTTGGGATTCTGTCTCTCCCTCTCTCTGCTCCTCCCCTGCTCATGTGTGGGTGCACTCATGTGTATGCACTCTCTCTCTTAAAATAGATACATAAACTGGGGCGCCTGGGTGGCGCAGTCGGTTAAGCGTCCGACTTCAGCCAGGTCACGATCTCGCGGTCCGTGAGTTCGAGCCCCGCGTCGGGCTCTGGGCTGATGGCTCAGAGCCTGGAGCCTGTTTCCGATTCTGTGTCTCCCTCTCTCTCTGCCCCTCCCCCGTTCATGCTCTGTCTCTCTCTGTCCCAAAAATAAATAAAACGTTGAAAAAAAAATTAAAAAAAAATAGATACATAAACTTAAAAAAAATAGAGACAGAGAGAGATGTTCATGTTTGACAAAGATGTTTGTTGTGACAGATCGTCACATAGGGCAGTCTACAGAATGGACACTCTTGATTCATATACTACCCCTAGCTGGAAGGAGGTGGTTTAACTGTTGTAGCTGAACCACTTTTGTTCAAGGAACAGTTTAGGGTGTCTTTCACTAGAGCACATGATTGGGCATTTTAAGGAGGGATTAGGAAACGACACATACCAGTTATCCAGTGGTTATATAGAAATCAAAAGCCTATAAATAGCTAACTTATCATTTGTTAATACTGTCCTTCTTTCTAAAGAATGAGAATTTGTGGTAGCTTACAGAGATATATTAAATACCACGATAAGGAATCAAATAAGTGTGAAGTGTGATAAGGGAGAAATAAGAACGCAAAGTGAATTGATTGGTGAGGTCAGCGCATACATTATATACCATAAACATTTATTAAAGATGTGCTACAGATTTGGTTTTGAGTTTCTTCACAGCCAGAGCCAGAGGAAAACACAAAATGCCTATAAAAATGATTCGCCTGGGGTGCCTGGGTGGCTCAGTCGGTTAAGCATCTGACTTCGGCTCAGGTCATGATCTCACGGTTCACGGGTTTGAGCCCCGCGTCGGGCTCTGTGCTAACAGCTCAGAGCCTGGAGCCTGCTTCGGATTCTGTGTCTCCCTCTCTCTGCCCCTCCCCTACTCATGCTCTGTCTCTTTCTGTCTCAAAAATAAATAAACATTAGAATTTGTTTTTTTCAAAAAAATGATTTGCCTACTAGTAAAAAGAATAATTTTCTCTGATGGTGTCATCATCATAATGGCAACCATTTGTTGTGCACATTTAATGGGGCCAGACACTATGTTTAATATGTTAAGTACAAATTCTAACATTACCTCCATTTCACTGGTGGGAAATTGGAGATTACAAGGTTAAACGTATCTTCTAAGGTCACAAGGTGAACAAGAGGTTGGACTGAGATCTCTCTGGTTCCAAATCCATCATTTCTCCATTGCACGCTGTGGGGCTGAGTGAGCTGTGGTGGGTAGGTGATGGGGAAACTAACTGCACCTGTTGCTTTCCTTGGCCTTTCCTGCCTCTCCTCTGTCCTTGAGCCCTTCGTGCTGCTTCCTGCCTCATGCTGGTACCCTACAAATGCCAGACTTTGCTTGCACAGCTGTTCTTTTGGTTTGCTTCTTCCTTCAATTTCATTTCCATATGGATCAATGTTCTATTAGATGAGTCCATTTTTAAAAATTTGATTTTATTCTTCTTTCATTTATTTTTCTTTTCTATTTTCTTCCGTTTTGGTTCCGAAGAAATTTGAGGTAATTTTTTCCCCTTCTTCTTCCTGGTTGTCATTGAGGCTTGTTGCTTTATACACTATTGCGAATAGGCAAAAATTGAGCATTTTTGTTTTCAAGTTACACAGTATCTGACTTCCTCCCATGTACTGCAATTTATTCTTCAATTAACAATAGAGACGGCAGGACTGCTATTGGCTTTGCAAGTCTTGTTTACAAAATGTGAAGCAATATTTACATATTTTAAGAGTTAAACATTTCCTGAGTAAATATTTATAATTGGTCAAGTAGAATTGAATTTGGTCAATGTTTTGCTAGTTGTTAATTTTGATTCTGTTGTGAGGGGGACTATTTAATCTTGCCATTATCCATCTCTCTGGCCTAATAAGATGGTAAATATATGTCAGCAGAAGTTCATCAACATCCAAATGTAAGTGGACATTTGTGAAAAATGTATGGTAACGGTTATTCAAACAATGTTTGTAAGAATAGTTAACAGAATAAGCAGGGTGAATGTTAGTAGTTTCCTATTGCCACACAACAAATTGTCCCAAAACTTAGTGGCTGAAAACAGCAAACATTTGTTATCTTATTTTCTGTGGGTCAGGAATCTGGGCGTCCTGAGCAGAGAGGCAATGAAGGTGCTGGCCAGGACTACTGTATCATCTAGAGACTTGACCAGGGCAAAGTCTGCTTTCAAGTTCACCCCCGTGTTTGTCAACAGAATTCGGTTCTTCACGGCTGTTGAACTGTGGGCCTAACTTCCTCCAAGGCTGTTTTGCCAGAAGCTGAGATCAGTTCCTTGCTACCTGGGCTTCTCTGTAGGGTGGTCTTCTGTGTGGGAGCTGGCTCCCTTTGGGGGAAGCAAGAATGAGTGCTGCAGTTGGAATCTCGTCTTTCTAAAACATAATCTCCAAAGTGATATCCAGCACTTCTGTCTTATTTTATTCTTTGAAAGCCAGTTAGTAAACCCACAAAAGGCAAGGGGATTATAAAAAACAAGGGCATGAACACCAGGAGGGGATCATTGGGAGCCATCCTGGAGGTTTGCCTAGCACAGAGAGTGAAACTAACACTAACTTAATGCTGCCTAGCATCACTTCATATTAGAGGACAGAACTGGGACTGACAAGGAGGAAAGAGCAGCCGGCACTCCAAGTTCAAAAACTAATAGGGTCTTTCTCTTCCCAAAGTTTCAGAACATGTAATAGATGGGGTAAACAAATATGTGGGATGGAAAGAACTAAGGACCACTAAAAGTAAAAACTTCAGACACCCACTACTATAGCAGAATCAGCATTTACTCTTAGGCCCAGCATTTTAAGGGCAACCAGGAATGAAAAGAACATTGACTTGGCAATCAGACTTCATCAGAATTCCAGCTTTCTTGTAACTACTGGTAGATTCACATTCTTAGGAAAGTCATTTAAGTTCTTTGGGGTTTATTTTCATTTCCTATAAAATGGGGATGATAGTATGAAATATTACTACCTATATTTGTGAGGCAGGTATTTAGAGCCATGATAGTTACACAATACTAGATGGCAACATAGTTCTACTGTGCCGCTATACTGAAAACTAAGGATGCAAAATCTTTGTTTTTTGAAACACATGGTGCTTTCTAACTACTTACAAATTTTATTTTATACGATTTTGAAATAACTTTTCAGACTTAGATAAATATTTTAATGTTTCATTACCATGCATTATCTCAAAAGTATGAATGATATAAATTCATTTAATTCCAAGGGGTTCTTTCGATTTTTTTGTCCAACCCCTCTGAATCATTTTTAAACAGAGAATTGCCAATGCCCTATTTAGTTATGACTTAATTTTTTTTTTTTTTACACTTATTTTTGAGAGACAGGGGTAGGGGGAGTGGGGCTTGAACTCACAAAACGTGAGACCATGTCCTGAGCCGAAGTTGGAGGCTTAACCAACTGAGCCACCCAGGCGCCCCTAGTTATGACTTTTAATAGTATACTTCACTTCATTCAATATCAAAATAAATAGTTTCAATATTTAGTCAATATAAAACATTGTTTATGTTCTCTCTCTCTCTCTCTCTCTCTCTCTCTCTCTCTCTATTGGCTAACATATTAAGGTTTTGCAAACCTGCGCGGTCTTCCTTACAGCACATCACCTACGAACTATTAGGACACATGCCTGCCGTATTTGGGACTGAAGCCTCGCTGCACACGCCTTTTATTTTATTTTATTAAAAAAATTTTTTTTTTTTTACCATTTATTTATTTTTGAGACAGAGAGAGACAGAGCATGAACGGGGGAGGGGCAGAGAGAGAAGGAGACACAGAATCGGAAGCAGGCTCCAGGCTCTGAGCCATCAGCCCAGAGCCCGACGCGGGGCTCGAACTCACGGACCGCGAGATCGTGATCTGAGCCGAAGTCGGACACTCAACCGACTGAGCCACCCAGGCACCCCTGCACACGCCTTTTAATAAATTATTTAAAAAAAAAATTTTTTTTCCCCCTCCCTTCACAGAACATGCCTTAAAAAAAAAAAAATTTCCCGTTGTCTTTTTGCTCTACATTATGGTGACCGCCACAACTCGGTCTCCTAATGAACTTTAAGTTTTGCTTTGAATCCACGTATAATCTTAGGAAGACACCCAGACCACAGCAAGGCCCTGTACGCCCTTGGGCTAGGTGGCTAGAGCGTTTGCCGACGGGGGCGGAGCCTATGGTGACGTAGGCCGGGAAGCCGCGGGGCGGGGGGCGGGGCGGCGCGCTCCCGGAAGTGGCGCGTTACGTCGCTGTGCGTGCAGGCGGCTGCGTCGGGCTGCAGGAGAAGATGGCGGTCTCCACAGGTCGGTTCCCGGGCTGGGCTGCCTGCTTTCCCACTCCAACCGGGCTCTGCCCCTCCGCCTGCTGCTGGCGGCCGGGCCCTGATCGTGTGGGAGAATCCAGAGTGCGCCTTCTCGGACACCGTGCTACCCGTGGAGCGAAGCCCGGGAGCTGGGAGGGTCTGGGCGGGTCGGGCGCCGGCGCCGAGGGCCCGGGGCGGCCGTCGGGGGTGGCGGGTCGTGCTTGCGCGTCGGCCGCGCGCCCGCGAGCTGGGGGCGGGGTGGCTCCGGCGCGGGCGTACACGCAGGGGCTAGCGGGTGCGGGTCAGATCGCTGAGCGGAGGGCAGTGTGGGAGGGAGGAGAGGAGGCCCAAGGTGGGCAGTGTCAACCTCTGGCACGGAAGGGTTTCGGGTAAGGGGCGTCCTGGATCGAGGGGGGTCCCGTTCTGTTGGACTTGCCTTTATATGGGTGGAGGAGGAGAGGACTAAGAGGACTGTTGCTGTTTTGTAATAAGGGAGAAATGATGATCATTCTTACCTGGCTGAATACGTGTTGTTATTTTTATTCATTTAAGGGCAAAAGTGTAGTGCAAGAAAAATAAAACCATAGAGCAAGGAAACGCCAATTTAAGAAGTGGTTTGTTTCTTAGACTGTTCAACTCCTCTCTTCGTACTGAGTACAGTGTTTGGTGTCAAACGAGCACAGACTTTGAAGTTAAATATTAATACTGAGATTTTCGAAACTTAACCATTTTACAATATGTTAAAATGAAAATGTTAAGTTTTACTACTTAACGTCTGATCTTTCATTTCTCCTAATTACAATTGAAACCAGGCTATAGAGCAGTGTGATTTAATATTTCATGCCATCATTGCATAATAAAACAAACTTTTAAATGTATATGTGCTAAAAAGTGGAAGGTTGCAGTATATGTTATTGGAATTTGTAAGGTTATACCTTGGGATACATTCAATATACATTTTAATGGAAAGTTATGTCTTTTAAGTCTAATCTTTAATGTGTACAGGTGTCATAGGTGATAGGATCTTTACCAGTTTTAGCGTTGGGGAGTATTTCGGCATACTTGAGGTATTAGCGAACTAGTAAAAAGAAGGATTATTTTAAAAATGAGATTTTAGTGTTACAACTTTATTGTACTTGCTGTCGGAAATCCAGCGTGCTTGCGAATCGGGCCATATCCCTCTTGTTGTGCTTGGTACTATGGGTTCTTGAAAATTTAGTAATAAAATGGTACATTTTAATTTGATAGTTTTCATTTTGTGGATTGCATTGTTTATTTAAACATGTTCCCCCCCCCCCCCCCACATTATACATATGAGAGTGTGGAAATATTTTGAAAAGAACAAATATTAGTTGTTACTGGTGGCAGATACTTTTCGTTATCCACTTTCAGTTCTCTTTTACAGAAGTCGAATATAAGTTATAAAGATGTTGCTGATTGTTGGCACATTTCCTTATACTTTGGAAGCCTGTATTTTCTAGTTTATATTTCATCATCACAATTGTTATATTTTCATCCTGTTTTCAGATTTATGAAATATGATACCTTAGCATAACTAATAAGGATGTATTTTAGGCATTTGAAGTTTTTTCAATGAAATTTATTTTGAAACTATTGCTAAAACCTTGTCTTGGTCAGTTTCAGTATTCTGTTTATTCATTTTGTATGCCTTACATAATTCACAGTATTGTTGAACTGAGAGGAAGACGAGTGCAGAAGCAGCTTTGGACTTTTTAAATTATACTTTCTGTTAGCTATACTTTTGTATTCTTTGTGGGGAAATAGTACCTGTATATTTGTGAAATAAATATAGCTTAAAATTTAAAATGAGATGAGCTAGGTCATGTAATGTACATGTTTTGGGGTGCTTGGCTGGCTCATTCTGAGGAGCATGGGATTCTTGATCTAGGGGTTGTGGGTTCGAGCCCAATTTTGGGCATAGAGATTATAAGAAAAAAATAAACTTTGAAAAAAAATCATTAAAGAATAATATACATGTTTTTTATTTAAGACAAAATAATCTTGATAAAAATAGTTATTTGCTAGGCTAAAAAGAAGAGATAGCTGACAAATATTTTTGATCCTTATTAAGGCATTATATTTTAATGTACATTATCTAAGTCATATACTTTTATCCTTCCTCTTACTAGAAGAAAAATTGGGGAGAAAAAATTCCAGCTAGCCTGAGATTTTTAAGCTGAAACATACTTTGCCATACCATTTGATCCTCTTTTATTTAAGAGGGGAGGGCGCAGAGGGGAAGAGAGAGATTCTTTCTTTTTAAGTTTTATTAAAAAATATTTTTTTTAAAGTTTATTTATTTATGAGAGATAGAGACAGCATGAGTGGGAGAGGGACAGAGAGAGAGGGAGATACAGAATCCTAAGGAGGCTCCAGGCTCTGAGCTGTCAGCACAGCTGACATGAGATCATGGCCTGAGCTGAAGTTGGACGCTTAACCGACTGAACCACCCAGGTGCCCTGGAAGAGAGAGAGAATCTTAAGCAGGCTCCATGCTCTGTGCAGAGCCCGATGGGGGCTCAATCCTGGGACCCTGGGATCGTAACCTGAGCCAAAATCAAGAGTTGGACGCTCAGCTGACTGATCCACCCAGGTGCCCTTGGTCTTCTTATTTTGCAGACGAGAAAAATGATGGCTAAAATATTACAAGATTTTATACAGTTGGTTAGTGATGGATTCAAGGTTAAAATTTGCGTTTTTGTTTTTATTTTGTTCTCAGTCTTGTGTTCTTTCTGTTATGAGGAACTGTGCAGTTTGAAATATTCCTCAGTCATGAATCTTACTCCCTTTTAGGCTTGAGAGTGGCTTTCACACTTCTCTTTCTAGCAGAATCTTTGTTTCACACTTAGATGTTTCTTGTGGATGGAAGTTGGGCTGTGGTGGAGACCCACTGGCTAGCTCCCCCGTTTCCAAGAGGCAGAGTCACCTTTGGAGGTCAAGAGGATTTCACTGGACATGGCTTAAGAACCACTACTTTAAGGAATAGAAATTTATTAGTACATTTAGTACCTTTGATTCAAACATTTAATTAGATCCCACTACTAATAAAAGAGTTACTGTTAGATGAAAAAGCGCGTGCCACACTTTCTTAAACAATAAATTTAAAATTTTAGGATAATTTTAATTTTGCAGTAAAGTTGTGAAGATAGTACAGAGAAGATTGTACATGGGAGTACCTGATGTTCATTTTCTGTCTCAGGATCCCATCCAGGATACATTGTTAAATGAAAATTTAAAATTTCTTATCACTTAAAGAAGTTGTGGTTTATATATACAATGGAATACCACTTGGTAACGAGAAAGAATGAAATCCTGCCATTTGCGACAACGTGGATGGAACTGGAGGGTATTATGTTAAGTGAAATAAGTCACAGAAAGATATGTTTTCGCTCATATGTGGAACTTGAGAAACTTAAGACCAATGGGAGAAGGGAAGGGGAAAAATAGTTTCAAACAGAGAGGGAGACAAACCCATAAGAGACTCTTAAATACAGAGAACAAACTGAGGGTTGATGGGGGCGTGGGAGAGGGGGAAACGGGTGACGGGCATTGAGGAGGGTACTTGTTGGGATGAGCACTGGGTGTTGTGTAAGTGATGAATCTTGGGAATCTGTCCCCGAAACCAAGAGCACACTGTATGTTGGCTAACTTGACAATAAATTATATTAAAAAGATAAATAAAAAATAAAAAAGGAAAAAAAATAAAATTTTTCATCACTTGAGTTACACTAGGGGGGTTCTAATCTCTGAATGCAGATGATTGTAAAATATCTTTAAATAACGAGAGACTCAGAAAAGAACGGAATATTTTTGTCTTTGATAGTAGGTCTGTGTAAGCCATAAGGTTGAAAAACGAAACGATGAGTAAAACTTACTACCTTCTTCAGAAGTGGGCAGCATTGTGTATACTGGAACAAGAACTGGGTTAGCAGTGCTTTAATTCCGCTGCTGCCTCTGACAGATTAGTGTGGCATGCTAGGCCTGCCGCTGAATCTCTTAAACCTTGCTTTCCCCATCCCTTCTGTGAAAGCTTGGACCACATGATTTTGTTCTCCCTATCTTCAAGATGATGATATGCAGGCAGAACTTGGGAGTGGCATCAGAAGAGGTGTGCATGGTGTGTAAATCATAACATAGAACCTGGGACCTGGACAATATAAGAGCCAAATTGTAGTAGTCTAGTACATTTCCCTCTTGAGACTTTAATAACTGGCTTGATAGATTTTTCTGTGTCTGTTAGCAACCTGGATCCTCTTGATACATGTTTGTTTTTGACAATATGATTAAATCGTACAGCCTTTGCTGTACGTGCATTCATCCCTTTGCACAATACTGCAGGATGGTAAAAATGACCATGCAGACTGAGACTGTTCAAAGCAGTCTTACTAAGAAAAACTGTTAGTCCGTGACCTTTGAAAATGTTTGCTTAGATATTAAAAACTCTTTGTGGTTATAAGTATTTAGGAAAATGAAAAAAAAATAGTAAAACTAATATTTGTTCAGTACTGTAATTTAAAAACGAGACATTAAGAATTGGAATGTTTTATTTGTAAAAAATTTGTCAAGAGTAGTTTGAACAATGCTTGACTTTTTCTTCTCATCGTACACTTACGATGTGGAGAAAGCATCTTTTCTGTGCTTTGATAATTGTCATACTCCTCAGTTTGAATCACTTCCAGTATTTTATCCTTTGTGCTTTCGATGTTGGAAATAATCTCAGATTTCCTTTATTGTGAAGTTTTTCACTTCCTGTGGAACATTGCCATCCTTTTCTTGTAACTGCCTTCCTCATTTACATCCATAAGCCCCCATTCACACAGTTTGAGTGTTTGCTCATCTAGAGTCTTCCCAACACTTCCAGTTGCGTGTTTTTTTCTATAACTGCATTTACATTTGATTCACATTTCACATCAGTGTTATCAGTTTTTTCTTTGCTGCACTTTGATCTTTGTTGGCTAATTTCTTTTTCTGGCTATTTTTA